TAAAAGATCATCAATAACTTTGGAGAGAACAGTTTTATGAAATGATATGGTTGGAAGCTAGATTTTAAGGGGTAAAGAGAATGAGAGAAAATGAAGTAGAGGCACCTCTTGTAGATGGCTTTTTCCAGGAGTTTAGATATAAGAATCAAAAGAGAAATAGGACAAATGAAAAACAAATGACTCTCTAGAAAATCACAATCTCAGAAACCCTCTAGCCTTACCTGTCTCTGACCAAGAAAGTCCTCTACACCATCTCCACAAGTGATCAATCAACATTTGCTTAAAGATTTTTAGTGAGGGGCAACCCACCATCTCTGGAAAAGGCCCATTATGGAAATTTGGACTTTTGGGAAAACTCTCATTGTTGGTCAGTGTTTCCTTATGTCTAGCTTAAATCTGCCACATTGCAATTTCAACCCATTCTCTTACTTCTTCCTTTTGGTGACATGCAGAACAGAGCAGAGAATCCCTCTTCTGGGTGCCAGCTTTTCAGATGCTTGAAGAAAGTTATGATGTCTTCTCTTCTCCAGGAAAAATGTTTCCAGTTGTTTTTTCAATCAGTCCTCTTGTGGTGGGACCTCAAAGCTCTTCTTTATCCCAATTGCCTTTCTTTAGACAACTTTCAGTTTGCCAATATCTTTATGAAAGTGTGGATTCAAGAATGAAACAGGATACTCAGGTGGTCCAACCAGTGCTGAGTATGGAGGGGGAAGGACAGTCACCTCCCTACTCCTGCATACTATACCTTTCCCATTGTAATCTAAACTCACATTAAACATCTTTGGCTGCCATATCTCCCCATTGACTCCAATGGAATCTTCAAAGGTCCATCCACACCCTCACATCTTTTTTCAGATGAGCCGCTCTGTGGTGACACTTCTTCCATATTATACTTATAAAGTTGATTTTTTTAATTTTAATTTTTTTTATTTTTTTAGGCAATTGGGGTTAAGTGACTTGCCCAGGGTTATATAGCTAGTAAGTGTGAAGTGTTTGGTCTGAGGCCTGATTTGAACTCAGGTCCTTCTGACTTCAAGGCTAGTGCTCTATCCTGTGCCACCTACCTGCCCCAAAGTTGATTTTTTTAAAAAACCTAACTGCAAGACTTTCCAATTATCCTTAATAAATGTTTAAAAGAAATTTTTATCAATATGTTTGGCATTTTTTACACCAGCAGAATTTCTCCCAGTATCTCTCCCCCATCCCAAAGAGCCAACCCATATAACCAAAAAAAAAAAAAATTAAAGGAAAAAAAAAGAAGAGACAAAAAAAATCAGCAAAACAAATCAGTACATCAAAAAAGTCTGAAAACATATTCAGCATACCATACCCCAGCACCTCTCACCTCTGCAAAGGAGTGGAGATAGGGGTATCTTCTCACAGCTCTTCTTTAAGCCCATGCTTGTAACTTTGCAACATTAGCTTTTGATTTTTTGTGTATGGTTGTTCTTTCCATTTATATTGTTGAAGATATTGTATATACCTCTATTAAATTTTTTTTTTTTAAGATTCATTCCAGCATTGTTGCCTGTCAGAATCTTTTTCTGGATCTTGGCTCTAGCATCTAGAATCACTTTTACCGATTCCATCCCCTCCCCCTTTCCTCTTTCCCCTTTCCCACAACCCTCCCCACCCTCATTAGTAACCCTTTCTAATAGCCTAAGGGGTACAGTTGGAGGGGGGAGGGTGGTGTAGTTTCAGAACTGTGGCAGCTGTAAGCCCTCCTCCCTCAGCACCCAGCTGTCCCCTCTTTGAAATCTATCAGTGTGGTGGGTTTCAGATTTTATCCTAAAAGCAGTCTGCTGGAATGATGGCGAGCAGAGGGGAGAGAAAAGAGACATTACTGAGAGTAAGGTGGAGCAGGGAAGACCAGAGAGGTCTGCGTTGCCAGAGACAAATGATACTGCCTTTATAAAAACTAGGATGTTTGATTCGTTAACCTTTTGAAGTTAATGTTAAGAAGTGCCAGTCATGGGCTCCCAGAAGACTTTCATCAGTCTTCTCTCCTAGCCAACCCCACTGGAGATTAGATTCTAGGCTCAGGAGACCATGGGTGTAACCCAGAGTGGACTTACTTAGGCTCTCAAGTTCAAAGACTGCTCTTTGGTAAGTGACTTGGTCTGGATAGATCACTTGTGGGCCTTCTTGAGGGACAAAAACCAAAGCTGGGACTGGGCCCTTCATTATAATGCCCACCAGTTGTCTACTCAAACCTCCTTTCTTATCCTTTGCTTCCATCTATTCCATCTTTCTTTCCTTCTTCCTTTAGTGCTTCCTTTGGAGAGACAGTTCCATGAGGCAGCCAGACGGAACAACGTTGGGAGGATGAAAGAATTGATTGGGATGGGGGTCAATATCAGAGCCAAAAACAATGTAAGTCATTTTTCTCTCTAGGACCAATTACCTTCTCTAGGTTCTTCTAGGGGTAGGGTCTATGAATAGATTTCAGGGGATCTGTGAATGTAGATGGGGGAAAAATGACATCTTTATTTTCACTAACCTCTAGCTAAAATTTAACATTTATTTCAATTATGAATGTTGGTAGCAAAACCTTCTTTTGATAAGGAGTCCATAGGCCCCATGAAATTGCCAAAGGGATCCATGGTGCAAAAGTGGTTAAGCACTTCTGTTCTAGGTCAAAGTAACTTTATAAATTGAATTTACTATATACTTTCTGAAAAAAGTAATTTGTATATAATATTTTGCAGGTTTACACATATCTTTTTCAATTCTATTTTGTATATGAAAAAGTTCTTTTTTGATCCTTTAATTCAGAATAAAAAATTAATGACTTTATATTAGCGTGTTAAGAGCAGAGGTTTGTAGTCAGAAACATAGCAAGTTATAGACTGTGAACTCATTGAGGTCAGGGACTGTTTTTGCCTTTCCTTGTTTCCCCAGCCTTTAGCACAGTGCCTGGCATGTGGCAGTCAATATGTAACAAATGCCTGGTGACTTGTCTTCTCCAAGTGTCCACCTTTGGCCAGTCCCGGTTGTTGGGCATATCTGTGAGTGATATTAGTTCTGGGACCGGAGGTAACATCAGAGGATCATAGATTTAGAGCAAGAAGAGACCTTAAAGTCCATCAAACCAACCTCCTCCTTACACAGATGAGAAACCTGAGGCTTAAGGAGGTTAAGTGACTTGCCTAGGGTCACACAGCTGGTAGGTATCTGAGGCAGTATTTAAACTTGGGTCTTTTTCACTCCAAATCCAACTCTATTTTCTGTGCCCCCTAAATAGCAATGGGTCTAATAAATTTGGGGGCAGCCTAACAGCCCAGGATGGAACAGAGGCGCAAGATTGGACTGGACCTTAGCTAGGTCCTAGAAGCTGTTGATCAAGGTAGAACCTATTGCACCATCCGAATTATCAATACACATAGGTACCAGTGGTCAGCTCAAGGTCGTGAGTCCAAACCAGGTAGGCAATCTGGAGTCAGATAATATGCCATAAAGAAAGTCTGGGACAACTGGTGAGAGAAAGATTTGGCAGGTAGCCGTGAATCAGGGGGCCATAAACACTATTTATCAGGGCAAGAAAGGTGGTAAAGAGTTTAGGCAAATACATAGTCAAGAACCAGGAGAACACAGATTCCAGAGGTGAGAGGGAGACAGAGTTAATAGTGCAGACCTGTAGTCAGCAACCAGGAAGTACCTAATACACATTTAGGGTTGAAGAAGTATAAAGCCCAAGGAAAAATGCAATCTTCCTTCCCTCTTTGCAGAGGTAGAGCACTATGGGTATGGAATATTATATATGCTGTCAGACACAAAGGAGGTTCAGTTTTGCTGAGCTGCCTTTTTTTCACTTTCTTTTCAAAATTTTTGTTAAAAGGAATGGCTCAGTAGAGAGTGGAGGGAGGAGGGAAATATTTGGTAATGAAGGTAATATAAAAACCAAATGTACCAATAAAAGATTCTTAAAAGAGAAAGAACAAGGCATTGGTCCTAAAAAATAAAGAAACTGAGGCAGCTCTCTGCCTTGGGCAGGAAGGTTTTACATGCATCTGCTTAGGTCAAGAACCAACCTGGCATGCCTGGTCTGGAATGGGAAGGTTTCAGAAGCAGGTGAACGGAGGCCTCTTTGAAGTAGGGAGTGTAGGGCAGGGAAGAACAGGGAGGAGCAGAAAGGCAGCTCCTAACAGCTGGATTCTGACAACACCTGGACCTGGAATACATGCCTGGCTAAGCACTTCACAAATATCCTCTCATTTGACCCTCATAACAACCTGGGAGATATGTGCTATTATTCTCCCCATTTTACAGTTAAGGAAACTGAGGCAGGCAAAGGGTAAATGACTTGCCCGGGATCACACAGCTAGTAAGTGTCTGAGGCTGGGTTTGAACTTGGGTCTTCCTGACTCTATCCACCGCACCAACCTAGCTGCCTCAGGGGAAGGTGAGCATAATTACACTGTACCCTACCTGAACTTTAGAAGACCCACAACCTAGGCCACAGGTTCTGAGGTGATGGACTGAAAGACTAATTGTACATTGTTCTACCTTTCCTACCATTTCAGTTCTTGGGTCAGTAGGAGCTGGCCAAAAGAGACACTGAGAGCACTTGACCATACCAGTGGCTCTCATTTATCATTCCCTCCTCTCCTCTCTGACCTTGGGGTCACTTTTTTTTCTTCTTGTCCACTCCTTTCTGCCATGTTCAAGTAGAAATCCTTTGTATTTTATATTTTTGAAATGCTTTTATATCCATTTAAACCTGAAATTCAATTTAAAAAGATTGTACCAGCCTTCTTTACCCCAGTGAATAATCAGAAGCATGAAGGGAAGCAGGGAATTGGGAAGCCAGAATGTTCCAGGAGCCTACTGGGAGGAGAATAAAGGAGAGAAAATGGGGTGTGATTTTTTGTAGTTTGTGGATAACAGCCAGGAAGGGGGCAGCCCAGGTTTGGGGTTGATGGATTCTCTGTTCTCCTGGACAGATGGGCAGGATGGCACTGCACTGGGCTTCCGGGGCTGGGCACGAGCAAGCTGTGAGATTACTGCTGGAGTATGAAGTTTCTGTGGATGACAAGGACAAGGTAGGCGGGCGTGAAGGGTTATGGTCTCTTACTCTGTATTTCTGAGCAAAAAAAAAAATGATCTCTTTGTGTCTTAATCTGAAACTCAGGGTTTTCACTCTGAATTTGTTCCACCAACTTGTAGCATTTAATTTACACCTTCCAAACTAAAGAGAACACTATCGTGCCTTAATAATAAGTTATGTAGACACATGGCAACAGACCCATAGGTACCTGGATTGACACAGACATAGACCCAGACAGGTCATGGACAAATGTAACTGCGGAGGGCCTGGGAGGTTTTGTCTTGACAAGGCAATATTTAGTGGGCATATGATAGCTGTCTTGAAGCATTTGAAGGCCTGCCGCCGTGTGGAAGAGCAGTTGATCTTGTTCATTTGGTTCCAGGGACAGAATAGGAGCAGTGAGCAGAAGTTACAGAGTCATAGCTGGGTTTGATGGAAGGAAAAACTTACTAACAGTTATAGCTATCTGCAGATGGAATAGGCTGCCTCTGGAGGTAGATTTCTCTTCACTAGAGGTCTTTGAGCAAAAACTAGCTGACCATTTGTCAGATATATTATAGAGAGATTTGTTATTCAGGTATGGGTTAGATTAGATGGCCTGAGATCTCTTCTTGGATTTTGTAACAGGCAAGTGCATGAAGGGATTGGTTATAAAGAATTCCTCAATGTTAGAGCTACGAAGCGTCTCAGAGCCACGGTCTGTTAACCTAGGATTTTGGAAATTTTTTTTTAATTTAATATTTTGATAAGTTATTTCAATGTATTTCAATCAGTTCCCTTTGTAATCCTATGTATTTAAAAACATTGTCCTGAGAAGGGGTCCATGACATCAAAAGGGTTAAGAACCCCTTAACTAATCCAACTCCCTCATTTTATAGATGAGAAAATGGAAATTCATGGTTAAGAATGGAGAAGCAACATGTTCAAAGTCATACAAAAAGTTTATGGAAGAGCGGGGATTAGAACCTTGATCTCCTAATGACACTTTAGTGCTTTTTCCATTACACTGTGGCGAAGCATAGTGGAAAGGCCAATAAGAGGATCTGAGTTTGAATTCTGCCTTTTCTTCTTACTACTGGAGTGATGTAGGGAAAATTACTTCCTGTCTCTGGGCCTCAGTTTACTCATCTGTAAAATGCAGGATCAGACTGAGTGATCTTAATGTCCCTTCCAGCTTTAAATCCTATGACTCTGTAAGTAAATCTACAGATTATATTCAGTCGTGTTCAACTCTTTGTGACCCCATTTGGAGTTTTCTTGGCAAAGATATTATAATAGTTTGCCATTTTTTTCTCCAGCTTACTTTACAGATTAGGAAACTGAGGCAAACAGGGTTAAGTGACTTGCCCAGGGTCACACAGCTAGTAAGTGTCTGAGGCCAGGTTTAAATACGGGAAGACGAGTCTTCCTGACTCCGTGCCCAGCACTGTGTCCACTGAGCTACCCAGCTGCCCCCAAATCTGTGGATAGCCGGACACATAATATGCATGTTCACCGGATTTAAGAGAAGTATTTGGCATTTGATAAAGTCTTTCATGATATTCTTGTGGAGTAAATAATTGCACTTGGATCTATAGCTACCCAAACAACTGAATCTAAAGGGATGAACAGAGCCATTATTACTCGCCTTCTGCCCTCTCTCTTGGCTTCCTATTAAAGTGCCAGGCATTAGTCCCTTAGAGTGATTATAGTCTATTCACCACTCAGGCCTTCACAAATCCCTCACTCCTCCCCTTCCCACGTCCCGCCCAGTGAATCATTTCACTTCTACAGCAGGTGCTCCTCAGTATGCCACTCTGCCCACCTCTCCCCATTTTTGTTTTCAATGGGACGGTGAGGCATGGATAAGTTGGGTTCTACGTCCCTGCTCTCATATCATTCCCCCTCTCCAAACCCATCCCTCCTCTGCATGTCCTTATTACTGCCATCTTTCTAGCTTATCGCTGCTTGACTTTTCACCTTCCCTCACCCCACATAGTCATTTGAATGGCCAAATCTTGTCATTTTTATGCCCACAATATTTCTCAAATTTGCTTCGTCTCAGCCCCCCACCCTAGCTCAGTCCTTCAGCACCTCTTTCCTGGACTTAAATTAGTCTCCTAATTGGTCTTCTTGCCTCATCCCTCTCCACTCCAATCCATCCTCCTCTGAGATGCTAAAGTGCTTTTCCTAAAGCTAGAGTATAACCTTGATACTCCCTGGTCATTCTCATCACAACCTAGTCAATAAGCAACAAAAATTCCCTATTGACTCTGGATCAAATACTGTTATCTTTATTTCATCCTTTTAAAAATATCTATTTTTGTGTAAGTTTTGTAGTGTGTATATTTAGTATAGTAATATATGTATATAATTTATAAATATGTGTACATATTGGTGCATGCTCAAATTTTATGCTAATAGGGTATACCATCCAAAAAGTTTGGAGACCCCTGATCTAGAGATTAAGCAATAGGACCAGTGTGTTAGTTACAGAGTCAAATTTTGCCTTAATATAAAGGGTTTTCAGTAAAATAGGCTGTCCTGAGAAAGTGTTCAAACTGAGGCTTGGAGGGGCAGCTAGGTGGCACAGTGGATAGAGCACTGGCCCTGAAGTCAGGAGGACCTGAGTTCAAATCTAGCCTTAGACCAAACACTTGACACTTACTAGCTGTGTGACTCTGAGCAAGTCACTTAACCCCAATTGCCTAAAAAATAAACAAACAAACAAACAAAAAAGCTGAGGCTTTGATAACCATCCCTGAGGTAGGCTGTACTCAGGCAGTGAGTTAACAAAAACTTATTTAACACCTGCTATGTTCTAGGTGCTGTGCTAAGCATCATCCCTGGGAGAGGAGATGCCTGCATTACATGGGAAATTGAACCACATGACTTCAAAATTCCATCCTGACCCTAAAATTGATATTCTGCAAGTCACAACTATAAAATTCTGTGGAAAAAAAAAGAAAAAAATTCTGTGATATTTAGGTTCGTGAACATGCAGATATAGGATTACACAGACCCATAGGCATGAATGTGTACAGATGCCTCAGCACATGGGCATGCAGGGGTGTCTGGGTATGTGATATGAGTACATAAATAAACATGTCTCTATGGAGCAGGAAGAAACACAGTCACAGGAAGAATGAAGAAAAAACCACAGTCTGCATCTTTCTTCTTCTCTCCCTGTAGTTTGGGATGAACGCACTGCTTCTCTCTGCCTGGTTTGGCCACCTAAGGATCCTACAGCTGCTAGTCAATTCAGGGGCCAAGATCAACTGTGAGGACAAGGTGAGACCACTGCCTAAATGTGGGGGCAGATGAAGCTGGACTACAGAGCTACCTGCCCCCAGCTGGAAACACGTGCTGGGAGTGAACTGAAGGGAGGCCTAGGAATGTAAGCAAGCAAGGTAATAAAGCAGGATCTCCACCCCTCACCACCAATGCTGTTTCCCCAACTAGCTTCTAGATTGAAGTCTATAAGGCTTAAGCAGGGCTATACTGGGGTCCTGGGATACAAACAGGGCCACAGCCTTGGGAAAAAGTGTTGGTGAGTACAATCTTCATGTGTATGTGGGGCAGGGGAGGAAGGGTGAGAGGGGATGGGAACCCAAGCGACACCTGTCCTCCTCCTCTCTTCTCTTCTCTCCTCCTCTCTCCTCTCCCCCTCTCTTTTCTCCCCTCCTCCCCTCTCTTCTCTCCCCTCCTCTCCTCTCCCCTCATCCCTCTCTTCTCCCCCTTCTCCTCTTTCTTCTTTTGCCTCCTTCCCTCCCATATCTCCTCCCCTCCCCTCTCTTCTGTCCCCCCCTTTCTTCTCTCCCCTCTTCCCCTTTCTTCTCTCTTCTCTCCCCTCTCCCCCTCTTCTCTTTCCCCTCTCTTCTCCCCCTCCCCTGTCTTTTCTCCTCCTTTCCCCCTCTATAGTCAGGGATTTACTCAAAGACCTAAACCACTGAAATTTTTGTTCCCTCCTTCCCCACAGGCCTCCTTACCTATGACCATATTCATATCATATTCATCTGCCAGAGACTCCCTGAAACCGTGCCCTTTCCTCATCCCTCTCTGTTGCTGCATGAACTTTGAGAAGCTCACTCCTGCTGTGATAGGCTGATATAAAAAGCACAGGGAGAAGGATGTTTTTAAGGAATACTTTGAGTCTGTTCAGCATTGCTGGAACTATAGTTGTATATATTCAGTAGACCTTTTGTGGGCTAGCCTTGGAACTATAGAAGCAGACTAAGGCCCCTCTTAACTCTCCTTCTTTCAGAAATATTTTTCCTGTCTTTTTTTTTTAAAGATTCATTAATTAATTTATTTTTAGTTTTCAACATTCACTTACAAAAGATTTTGAGTTTCAGATTTTCTCCGCATCTCGTCCCTCCCCCAACCCCAAGACAGCATGCATTCTGAGTATCCTTTCCCCTAATCTGCCCTCCCTTCTATCTCCCTGTCCCCCTTCTCTTATCCCCTTCCTCTTCTATTTTCCTGTAGGGCAGGATAAATCAGAAATGTTTTTTTAAAGTACTTAAAAAGAATATCAAGAGGGGGCAGCTAGGTGGCGTAGTGAATAGAGCACCTGCCATGGAGTCAGGAGGACCTGAGTTTAAATTGGACACTTGACACTTACTAGCTGTGTGACCCTAGGCAAGTCACTTAACCCCATTGCCTAGCAAAAAAAAACCAAACAAACAAACAAAGAACATCAAGGGAATTAATTTTTTAAAATGTGAAGGAAGGTAGCCTAGCCATGCCAGATCTCAAACTATATTATAAAGTGGTAATCATCAAAACTATTTGGCACTGGCTAAGAAATATAGTGGTGGATCACTGGAATAGATTAGGTACATGATACACAGTAATAAATGACCATAGCAATCTAGTATTTGATAAACCCAAAGACCCCCAGCTTCTGGGACAAGAACTCACTATTTGACAAAAACTTCTGAGAAAACTGTAAGACAGTATGGCTGAAACTAGGTAAGAACTACATCTTATACCTTATATGAAGATAAGATCAATATGGGTATATGATTTAGACATAAAGGGTGATACCATAAGCAAATTAGAGAGCAAAGAATAATTTACCTGTCAGATCTACGGAGAAGGGAAGAATTTTTTTTTTGTTTTTTTGTTTGTTTGTTTGTTTTTAGTGAGGCAATTGGGGTTAAGTGACTTGCCCAAGGTCATACAGCCAGTACATGTCAAGTGTTTGGTCTGAGGCTGGATTTGAACTCAGGTCCTCCTAACTTCAGGTCCAGTGCTCTATCCACTGCACCACCTAGCTGCCCCGAAGGGAAGAATTTTTGACCAAACAAGAGGTAGACAGCATTACGACATGCAAAATGGATAATTTTGATTATATTAACATTTTTGCACAAACAAAACCAATGTAACCAAGATTAGAAGGAAAGCAGAAAGCTGGGAAACAATTTTTACAGCAAATGTCTCTGATAAAGGCCTCATTCTCTTATAGAGAACTGAGTCAAATTTATAAGAATACAAGTCATTCCTGAATTAATAAAAGGATATGAACAGGCAATTTGAATAGTCATATGAAAAAATGTTCTAAATCACTATTGTTTAGAGAAATGCAAATTAAAACAACTCTGAGATACCCCCTTACACTTATCAGATTGGCTAATGTGACAGAAAAGGAAAATGATAAATATCAGAGGGATGTGGGAAAATTGGGACACTACTATGCATTATTGGTGGAGTTGAGAACTGATCCAGCCGGTCTGGAGAGCAATTTGGAACTATGCCCAAAGGACAATCAAATTGTACATACCTTTGATCCAGCAATACCACTACTAGGTTGGTATCCCAAAGAGATTTTTAAAAAAAGGAGGAAAGACCTACATATACAAAATATTTATACCAGCTCTTTTTGTGGTGGCAAAGAATTGGAAATTGAGGGGATGCCCATCAACTGGGGAATGGCTGAACAAGTTGTGGTATATGAATGTAATGGGATACTATTGTGCTATAAGAAATGATGAGCAGGTGGATTTCAGAAAAACCTGGAAAGATCTATGTGAACTGATGCAAGTGAAGTGAGCAGAACCAAGAGAACATTGTACGCAGTAACAGCAATTTTGTACAATGATCAACTATGAATAATAGCTATTCTCAGCAATACAATGATCCAAGACAATTCCAAAGGACTCATGATGAAAAATGCCATCCACATCCAGAGAATGAACTGATGGAGTCTGAATACAGATGGAAGCATATGATTTTTGCTTTCTTTATTTTTTGTGTGTGTTTTTTTTTCTTTTGGTCTAGTTTCTTCTTTCAGAATATGACTAATATGGAAATATGTCTTATATGATTGTACATATATAACACACATCTTATTGCTTACTGTCTTAGGGAGGGGAGAAGTGAGGGAGAGAGGAAGGGAGAAAATTTGGAAATCAAAGTTTAAAAAATTAATGTTAAAAACTGTCCCTATATGTAATCGGAAAAAATAAAATACTATTAAAAATAAAATATAAAGTATTTAAAGTTATCTTCATCTGAAACCTTTAGATTAATCTGAAAAATAAATTTTATCAGTCTTTCTTTAGCTATCAATTCAAAAACAGTGACCTGCACTGGAATCTTTCTACCTTACTCCCAGAGGAAGGACTCTCCAAAAGTGATTTGTATCAGACTAAGAGAAGGAAGAAGTCTGGTTACTTCATTTAATAGAAGTATTTCTTGAAATTTTAGACCAACTGGAAAGGAGAACTCTTAAAGGGAGTGGTCAGAGAGATTGAATAATTTTGGGAAAATGACAAGGGTATGCCAAATTAAGTCATTTGTTCTGTTTGATAAAGCAAAATGTTATCTGAATTTTTTTCCTTGGCTCTCTGTAAGCACAGTTTAGCTCAATGAGGAATTTTGTCTGTTGTTTGAACATATCCCAAATTGTAACTCCAGACAAACTTGAGTTAGAAGTTTTCAAAGTAATGGGGTAACTGCCCATCTTTGTTCCTTTCTAAGAAAAAATGCTTAGATTTCGAATCATCTAAAGTAATAAAATTGCTTCTAGCAGGCTCATGCCTAAAATTCAGAGTACAAAATTTTCTTCCACGGAACCGAGCCATCCTTTGTAACATCAGTTGCATGTACTTTGGGCTCCCAATTGCCACATTACTTCTGGACCCCAACTCATTTGTAAACAGGGGACTGAGTTACCAAGTCCAGACATTAAGTAACACAGGAAGTTAGGAAGTGGAAGTGAGGGGCATAGCCAGAGAAAGAATCATGATCACATTTACCTAGAAGAGAACGTGAGTGACCAGCAGTGAAGGGAGACTTGGGGATAGGGGCAGCATTGGCTGGGGGGAAAGGGCAATGGGGGTATTGAAGAACACACCTTTTTTCCTTTTGCAGAATGGTCTGAACATACTGCACTGTGCAGCTCAAAGGGGCCATGTACATGTGCTGGAGTTTATAATGGAAGATTTAGAGGATGTGTCCCTTGATCAAATTGATAAGGTAAAAGAACCTTTTGGCAACATTTTTCACTTTAGGAAAATGAAGGAGTTTGATTCTGAGAGGCTGGGCGAGGGGCACAGGCTTCTTGGAGTAGAGGTCTCCAACTCCCTTTCATTCTTTATGTAAGCATTTATTGAGAAGAAGGGAGGGAACATTATTAAATGCCTGCTGTGTGCCAGGCACTGTGCTAAGTGCTTTACAAATATTGTCTCATTGGAGTCTTACGGCTAGGTACTATTAACATAACTATTATTGTAGTAAGTATCTTAAATGTTAGCTATTATTATTATTGCTGTTTGTGTTCCTTTCTCGAAGAGGACTATGACATCAGGAAGGTGATGCCATGACCAGCAAGTGAATTGGTTTTAAGTGAGGAAGAGCTGTGCAAAGTCACTAGCCTCACTTTCTCCCCTGGAGCCAACTGAGTCCAGTGGCAAGATACAGACCAGGACAATTGGAGATGGCCCTGGATGCAGTGGGAGACCATGGTCTTTTTAAGCTAAGGTCTTTCCCAGGTCCCAGTTTGACTATGGGGCAGCTAAGTGGTGCAGTGGATAGAGTGCCTGACTTGGAGTCAGGAAGACCTGAGTTCAAGTCTGGCCTCAGATGCTTACTGACTGTGTGACCCTGGGCAAATCATTTAACCTCTGATTGCCTCAGTTTCTTCATCTGTAAAATGACCTGGAGAAGGAAATAGCAAAGCACTTTGGTATTCCTGCCAAGAAAACCTCAAATGGGATCATGAAGAGTCAGACACTACTTAATTACTAAAAAACAACAAATAAATGATTTGACTGGAACACCGAGTATATGAAGGGGGTCAGTGTAAAGCTAGAGAGGCATTTTGGACTGAGCCTGAAATGAGATGAGACACTCACAGGTCATTCAACAATTAACCAAATATTTACCTAGCCATAGCAGAAGAAGGATACTTGGCAAGATGTGCAACGAGAACTTCCAGGGTCGATTCCGATGAGCAAAGCACTGTTGCCTGAATTGCCTTTTGTGGCCCACTAGCCAAGCATCTGACTACACAGGGAGCTCCTCAGGGCTGTTTTGTACCAAGGAAGTGAATCCAGAAGCCTCAGCCATGATTTCCCTGAGTCAATCACGTCTCAAGGATAATTTCTATACCATTTAAGGAGAAATTTGCCTAACTCAGGTGGGGGGAGGGGTTAGGATATTGGTCCTAATACAAAACGAGTTGGAATCAGATCAGCTCATACATTCAATCAATCAATAAACATTTTTAAAGTGCCTACTATGGGCCAGGCGCTATGCTAAGAACTAAGAATACAAACAAAGGCAAAAGACTATCCCTGCCTTCAAGGAGCTCACAGTCTAATCGGAGAAGACAATACATAAAAATCTGAAAAGAGGGTGAGGGGAAGAACTAGGTGAGGGGCCTGATGCAGTCCAGAGAGGTGTGGCTGGGTGAGAAATGTGACGACTGCCCTGGATGCCCCCCATAAATGGAGGATGTAGGAGGAGCTCTCAGAAGTCCATTCTCCACCTTGTCCAATCAGAGGGAAAGAGGGACCCCAGGGGTATGGAGTACTGATGAGGTATGAGTCTCAGGGCTGATGTGATCTTGCTGGATGGTGAGTTTTTGGAGACCGGGATGAAGTCCAGGTGCAGCTGGGTGGGATCATGGAGAGTCTTGAATACCAGTCTGGGGATTTTTAGTTTTGTTTTTCTTTTGGACAATAGGGGAGCCATCAGTTTTCTCACCTGCAAAATGAAGGGGCTGAACTACCTGATCTCTGAGGGCATTTCCAGCTCTGACATTCCATGATTCCAAGGCATCAGATCAAATTGGTGCCCTGGAAAGATTAGCTCAGGAAGTGGTCCTTGGAGCTGGGAAAGCCTAAGAATAGAGAGATCAGTCAAAAAGCTGTTGTAATAGTCCTCTTTTGTGAGAAGTCCTCGTTCCCCTAAAGCTGTGAGGAAAGGATGGTGATGATGGTAACGATTCCTACTTAGACATGTTTGCAAAGCACTTTACATATATTATTGTATTTGATCACTGGGGAGAAGGAAAAGTCCAAATGGCAGATTTCCCCTTTTGTATGAGGGCTGGGGAGGGAGGTTATCTACCAGCTGCCCCTTCCTTTCCATTGGAGAGCCATAGAGAGGAGGCCATGGCATAAACAGGGCATGGCAACCAGCTTGGAGATCCAGCAGCTTCAAAAATCTCCCAATACTGCCAATGTCATGTGTGAAGGCCCAGGAATTAGTCAACGTTGCTTAATCAATGAAAGGAACTCTCCCAGACCAAACTGCTGCAAGTGTTATTTCCCCACTGACAGTATACTGCCTCAAGGGTCAGATTTGGGCTCTAGCATTTATTACTTGTATAGCCCTGGGCAAGTCACTTAATTTCTCTGTCCCTCAATATCCCCAACTGTAAAAATGAGGGAATTGGATTTGATGATGTTTAAGTTCCCTTTCACTTGTAAAGCTAGAGACCTATAATAAGTTACAGCTCACTACTTAACATTGAGGTAAGAGACAGAAAAGCTACAAAGAGCTGATAGAGGGATTTGGATACTTCAGCAGGCTGGGAGGTAGTCTCACGCACCTCAGCACATCCCTGAGGGTCTCACTGTGTCACAGCACACAATAACCCTCTGGGTATCGTGACTTTTCCCTAGGAACTCAAATAGCATTTTTTAAAATTAAATTTTATTTTTTTTCAATGAACAAAAATATTTTCTCCCCCTCCCTTTCCACTGGGGAGAAAAAACCCCAAACCTTTATAATATGCATAGTCGAGCAAAACAATTTCTTATGTTGGCCATGTCCAGATAATATGCAGGGCATTTTGTTTTACCACTCTAATATACTTATCTAGTAATATTATGTTGTAGTTATATCTTATTCATATTATAGAATATATCTCAAAGAGATTTTTAAAAAGGGAAAATAATTTATTTGTACAAAAATATTTATAGCAGCTCTTTTTGTGTGGCTAAGAACTGGAAATTGAGCAGATGCCTATCAATTGGGGAATGGCTGAATAAGTTATGACATGTGATTATAATAGAATATTATTGTGCTTATCCCCCTTCTTGATATAAAGTTTGTGGGGACAGGATCATGCTTTTTCCAAGCTTTCTATCTCCCATAGCCTGAATACAGGCTGGTACTTAATAAATGTTTATTGGTTTAAACTAAATTACAATAACTGGAGAAGGAAATGGCAAACCACTCCAGTATCTTTGCCAAGAAAACCCCAGGGACAGTATTGGTGTGCTGTGGTCCATGGGGTCACGAAGAGTCAGAGGGATTTGGATACTGAACAACAAATTATGATAATATAATATTTGTAATAATGGCCCTGAGTCATCAAGAGAAGGTTTAAATCATGTTCAAAATTCAGTTTGAGAAGGCAGGAAAGTATATATGATATGTTTTAGAAAGAATTCTGTCCTCAGAATGCTCCTTTAGATAGTTTTGTATTAATCCTCCATTACAGCCTTACTCTGATGCCTTATTGTTCAGTGGAGATACTCCTAGATTCTTGAAGCCTATCGACTCTAGCAGGTTCTACCAAGCTGGAAAGGGTTTGAGTGTTGTTTGTTCATTCCCTTTTCAGTTGTGTCCGACTCTTTGTGACCTCTTTCAGAGTTTTCTCTGAAAACTCCCATCTCGTTTTACAGATGAGGAAACAGGGGCATAAAGGGTGAAGTGACTTGCCCAGGGTCACACAGCCAGTAAGTGTCTGAGGCAGAATTTGAACTCAGATTTTTCTCACTCCAGGCCTGATACTCTATCCACCGGGCCACCCAGCTGCCTTAGGGTTTGAATATGGGTTGGTAAATGTACAAGCCGTATGTGTTTGTTGTTTGATGATCAGTCTAGCTAAATTTGAGGCAGTTTGTCATCAGAAGGGAAATAAATTTTTTTTGGCCACAGCAACTTGGAAATACTAATCTACTTAGATGTACATCATATGAGGTGTTGTGGTATATTTGTCAGTAGGGATTGGGGTGCTTACATTGATTAAAATCATGGATTCCTGATGTAATGAAGCACTGATATTTAAAGGGGTGAGTTTCAGTTAAAGGAAAAATTCACGAGTATGCAGCAGCTGAGTGCTGGATGAATGAGGTACGTTTGTACTAAGCATTTATTAACAGCAGTCCTTTAGAAGGGTGGAGTTGGCTGCCCTACTTCATGGAACTCTAGGGGTGACTCAAGACCTCTATGGTTGCTGCTGGGGCCCTTTTGCAGGGTCTACCCCCAAGGAAATCTGACGAGGGGTTGGCAGGGTGATGGAGGCTAGGGAGGAAGGGTTGGGTTGCACTGAAAATAACTGTATTTTTCTTCCTGAAATCAAAGCTGGATCGGACAGCTTTCCATCTGGCGGCTGAGCACGGGCAGCTTGACACTCTGGACTTCTTGATTGGCTTCGGCTGCGACCATGGCATCAAAGACAAGGTACGGAGAGCCGAACCTAGGATGGGGGAGGGGAGGATGGTGAATTCCTAGTCTCTAGATGGGCAGTTCTCAAAGTGTGACCCAGGGACCCCTTGGGATCCCTGAGACCCTTTCAGAGGCTCTTCAAGGTCAAAACTATTTTCATCATAAAATATTTTAATTTCTAATACATTAAATATTGACAGCTATAATCCATATAAACAAAAGCTCTTTGAGGGGTTCTCACTGATTCTTAAGAGTGTAAACAGATTCTGAGATGGAAACATTTGAGAGTGAATGCTCTGGAATCAATCAATCGATGAGCATTTATCAAGGGTCCACTATGTGCTAGGTATGTGCTAGATGCTAGAAATACAACACTGCCCTCAAGGAGCTTCCATTCTCTGGGAGATATTACATATATATATATATAATTATATATAATATAAATTATATGTAGATACAACATAGATACAAGATGATTTTTGCAGAGAAAGCACTATCAGGTGGAAGGGGAGATCAGAAATTTTTTTCATAAGGAAACAGACAAGTAAGACAGCTTTTAAAGTTTCATGTTAAATTTATTGTATACTTTTTATTTTGGTGAGGCAATTGGGTTTAAGTGACTTGCCCAGAGTCACACAGCTAGTGAGTGTTATGTGTCTGAGGCTGGATTTGAACTCAGGTTCTCCTGACTGCAGGGCTGGTGCTCTATTCACTACACCACCTAAATTTATTATTTACTTTAAGGAAAAGGAAACTGTACATAACAGAGATTCATGACTTCATGTGCAATCTTTCATGCCCCCCCATTCTACTTTGTGTATAGAAATGCTTATTTTATTTGGTATTTAAATTCAAAAAAAAATTTTTTTTAAAGAAAATGCCATATAAAAGATTGCCTTTGAGTTGTGTTTTGAAGGAAACTGGGGATTCCCAGGGACAGAGGAGAGAAGGGTGAACATTCCAGGTGCCAGGGACAACTAGTCCCTGCTGGAAGATTGGGGGGTCACATATATGTAACAGTAACAAGACCGGTTTGATAGATTACAGTTTAGAACACCATTACTCTCACCCTCACCTGGGGCCTCTGGTTCTAACTGTGCTCTGAAGGCATTGTAGTGTAGTGAGAGCAGGGGAACTAAGAGCTAGGGAATTCATTCTACAGTCAATGGATGTCAGGTCCTACTCAAAGTGCAAGTGTGCTTTTTTTTTTCTTGATAATTAATTTATTTTTAGTTTTCAACATTCACTTCCATAAGATTTTGAGTTTTAAATTTCCTCCCCTCCCACCGTTCCTCTCCCCTTAAGATTGTGTACAATCTGATATAGACTCTACTTAAACATTCATATTAAGCATATTTTCCCATTATTCATGATGTAAAGAACAATTAGAACTAATGGGAGGAACCATGAGAAAGAAGCAATAAAACAAAACAACAAAGGAAAAAGAGAGCAAATAGTATGCTTCCATCTGCATTCAGACTCCATAGTTTTTTCTCTGGATGTGGATAGCAGTTTCCTTCATGAGTCTTTTGGAGTTATCTTAGATCCTTGCATTGCTATGAAGAGCCAAGTCTACTGAAGTCAGTCATTGCACAGTGTGGCTGTTACTGTGTACAGTGTTCTCCTGGTTCTGCTCATTTCACTCAGCATCAGTTCTATATGTCTTTCAAGGTTTTTTTGAAGTCTGCCTGCTCATCATTTCTTATAGCACAATAGTATTCCATTCCATTACAACTTGTTCAGCCATTGCCCAATTGATGGGCATCCCCTCAATTTCTAATTCTTTGCCACCACAAAAAGAGTTCTATAAATATTTTTGTACATGTGGATCCTTTTCCCGTGTTTATGATCTCTTTGGGATACAGACCTAGAAGTGGTATTGCTGGATCAAAGGATATGCACAGTTTTATAGCCCTTTGGGCATAGTTTCAAATTGCTTTCCATAATGGTTGGATCATTTCACATCTCTACCAACAATGCATTAGTGTTCCAATTTTCCCACATCTTCTCCAACATTTATCATTGCCCTGTTTTGTCATTTTAGCCAATCTGATAGGTGTGATGTGGTACCTCAGAGTCATTTTGATCTGTATTTCTCTAATCAATAGCGATTTAGAACAATTTTTCGTATGACTATTGATAGCTTTAGTTTCTTCCTTTGAAAACTGCCTGTTCATATCCTTTGACCATTTATCAATTGGGGAATGACTTGTGTTCTTATAAATTGATTCAGTTCTCTATATATTTTAGAAATGAGGCCTTTATCAGAGACACTGGTTATAAAAATTCTTTCCCAGTTTTCTGCTTCCCTCCTAATCTTGGATGTATTGACTTTGTTTATGCAAAAACTTTTCAATTTAATGTAATCAAAATTATCTATTTTGCATTTAATATTGTTCTCTGTCTGTTCTTTGGTCATAAATTCTTCCCTTCTCCATAGATCTGAAAGGTAAACTATTCCTTGCTCTTCTAGTGTGCTTATAGTATCAGTCTTTATATCTGAATCCTGTACCCATTTCGACTTTATCTTGGTATAGGGTATAAAATGTTGGTCTATGCCCAGTTTCTGTCATACATTTTTCCAGTTTTCCCAGCAGTTTTTGTTAAATAGTGAGTTCTTATCCCAGAAGCTGGAGTCTTTGGATTTATCAAATAGTAAATTAGTATAGTCATTGACTATTGTGTCTTGTAGCCATTTCATCTGACTTTTGTTAGGGTACCCTCCATCTCCTCCCTTGTCCCCCTCCCCTATCTCTCATGCATCTTCATCCTTTCTCTCTATAGTGGGTTTTTATTACCTGCCTATAAAAATGCTTAGACCTCCCCAGTTGCAATGATCCACCATTCTATTTCTTAGCTAGTACCAAGTGGTTTTGATGATTGCTGCTTTATAATACAATTTAAGAGCTGGTATAGCTAGGCCACCTTCCCCTGCATTTCTTTTCATTAGTTCCCTTGATATTCTGGACTTTTTGTTCTTCCAGATGAATTTTGTTATTGTTTTTTCTAGCTCTATAAAATAATTTTTGGTAGTTTGATTGGTATGGGGCTGAATAAATAAATTAATTTAGGTAAAATTGTCATTTTTATTATATTAGCTCAGCCGACCCATGAGCAACTGATATTTTTCCAATTATGTAGATCTGACTTTATTTATGTGAAAAGTGTTTAGTAATTGTGTTCATATAGTTCCTGGTTTTGTTTTGGCAGATAGACTCTCAAATATTTTATAATGTCTACAGTAATTTTAAATGGAATTTCTCTATCTCTTGTTGCTGGGCTTGGTTAGTAATATATGGAAATGCCAATGATCTGTGTGGGTTTATTTTATATCCTGCAACTTTGCTAATAAATAAACTTTGTTTATTATTTCAAGTAATTTTTTACTTGATTCTCTAGGATTCTCTAAATATAGCATCCTATCATCTGCAGAGTGATAGCTTTGTTTCTTCTTTGCCTATTCTAATTCCTTCAATTTCTTTTTCTTCTTTAATTGCTATAGCTAATATTTCTAGCACAATATTGAATAACAGTGTAGATAACGGACATCCTTGTTTCACCCCCAGCAAGTGTGTTTCTTTAATACTTGGTCCCTCAAGATTCTTCAGAGTCTGGAGAGCATGCCCATGGGCAAAACCAGTCATGAGGCAAATTATTTCCATAAACAGTCTATATATTACTATATGTAAACCATTTAGCAAAAATGACATGTTACTGAAAAGTTTTGAACAACATTCTGTAAGTAATAATTAGTTTTTGAAGGGTTGCTAGATGGCACAGTGGGTAGAGCACTGGGCTTGGAATCAAGAAGACTCATCTTCATGAGTTCAAATCCAGCCACAGACACTTACTAGGTGTGTGACCCTAGGCAAGTCACTTCATTCTGTTTGCCTCAGTTTCCTCATCTGTAAAATGAACTGGAGAAAGAAGTGACAAACCATTCCTGTATCTTTGCCAAGAAAACCCCAATGTGGTTGTGAAGAGACAGACGTGACTGAAAACAACTGAGTAACAATAATTAGTTTTAGGTGCTTATTCAACAAGGGGATAAAATAGAGTAGAATGTAATGGAGAAAGTGCTGGGCATGGGTTCAAATTCTGCCTCTGACACTAGCTGCATAAACTTCTCTGTGTCTCAGTCTCTTTATCTTTAAAATGAGAATAATGATAACCTGAATTGTATTTGCCTCAGTGGTTGCTGGGATCAAATGAAAGTATAAATCAAAGTGCTTTACAAACCTTAGAATACTATATAAATGCCAATTATTACTATTATTGTTGTTAGCAGTAGCAGCCTCAGTAATATTAGTATGAATTAATCAATGGGGGATAAAAATCTAATATTATGTTTGTACTGATCGATCACCTGCCATGACTATAGAAATCAATGGGCAGGGTCAAGTTTTCATCATTAGATATAAGCTGTTCACAGTTACAATTTTTAGAGTGGGTAAGGACATTTAGGTTCATTAAGTCTAATCAGCTTATTTTTCACATGAGGAAACTGAGACCCAGAGAGGTGAAATCCCATTTAAGCACACACAGCTAGTTCATGGATGAAGTGGGACTAAAATCCCACCTCCTAGAGTTGTTGTTCAGTTATTTTCAGTTGTGTCCAACTGTTCATGACCTCATTTGGAGTTTTCTTAGCAAAGGTACTGGAGTGGTTTGCCATTTCCTTCTCCAGCCCATTTTACAGATGAGGAAATTGAGGCAAACAGAGTTAAGTGACTTAACCCAGGATCACACAGCTAGTAAGTGTCTGAGACTGGATTTGAACTCAAGAAGATGAGTCTTCCAGCCAGGTACTCTATCCACTATACCACCCAGCTCCTCTATCTCCCATAGTACTTCTCTTTAAAATTTTTTTATTGATATATTTTCTTTTTGCATCACCTTTTCCCAACCTGTTTCCGCTTCCCTCACGCAGAGAGCCATCCTTTATTTCAAAGAACAAAAGAAAGGAATGAAAAGGTGCTTCAGCAAAACTGATGAGCACATCAAAGCTGACATTT